AGAATTTAAATAACTGAATAACAAATTGTGTTCCCTCAAGAGCTTTTCCACCAATCCTGGCCAGTCCACTCTATCCCACCTGATATATTATTTTCTTTAAGCAGATTGTCCTGGAATGTCCTTTCTGGATGCCATCTTGTTGAGTGTAATCCACTCCTCTTTGTTATTTTAACCTAAGCCCAGGTAATCAAGGCCAGGATCTTAATTGCCTCTGGCATCAGGCAGCACGGGGCTGATAGTTGCATATTTTAAAAGGAGCCTGGCTGGCTGGGGATTGAGAAGAGAAAACCCAGTGGGGTTTGTGCCTATGAGGGTTTCCAGTCTGCATGCTTTCAGCTCGGCATTTCTGGGGCACTTTACAGCAGGCTTTGTAAAGATTTAGCTGAAAATCAACTTATGAATTCCTCCCTCACTGGCTTGGCCAGGTTTAACCTGTTATGGGTCGAGCCAAGCTGGCTTGTATCATGCAGCATGGTGAGGATTTCCGGCCTTGTTCTTAGCCTCTTGGAGGCTGGCTGTTTTTAGAAGCCAGGCTTGGTGTTGGTAAGGCTGATATCATTGTGTCCTCTGAAGTGACCTCGGAAGGACGCCCATCTGATACAGCATTTAGACCTTTGACCAAAAAAAGCACGTCTTGGAGTTGACATTTGTACACCAGAGGTTTATGGTTTTATGTTTTTTTTTCTCCCCAAGATGAAACAAAGCTTCCTCTTTGTTTCTGCCTCTTTGGGTTGATTCCTGGAAATAGGCAGTGTACCCAGACCAGGCAGGCAACACCTGCAGCAATGGGACATCTTCAGAGGGTGGTTTCTCTTGGCCCAGGATACCCTATAGTAACATCAGAAGAGGCACAGGACTGTGGCCATCACTGGCCTTTGCTGAGTCCACGCTCTTAAGGTTGTCTGGTGCTGAACACACAGACGTGCCTGGAAGAGGAAAGAGAAGAGACATGTTATGGGGCTTCCCCGGTGGCGCAGTGGTTGAGAGTCCGCCTGCCGATGCAGGGGACGCGGGTTCGTGCCCCGGTCTGGGAGGATCCCACATGCCACGGAGCGGCTGGGCCCGTGAGCCATGGCCGCTGAGCCTGTGCATCCGGAGCCTGTGCTCTGCAACGGGAGAGGCCACAGCAGTGAGAGGCACGCGTACCGCAAAACAAACAAACAAACAAAAAAGAGACATGTTATGATGTTGGGATCACTTATGGGCACTGTTAGCGTCGAGTCACCACTGGAAGTTGTGTGCACAGAGAGGGACCCTGTGATGGAGAGGTTGTGAAGGTGAAGAAGCAAACCCTCAGGGCAGCCTCAGAGGAGAGGGTTCATATCTGCCTTTGGAACTCATGTGAAGGGAAGCTGAGGAAGTGGAGAGTCCCGTTTTTCCCTGCGATCCTGGAAGGACATTGGATTTCTGAGTGCCGTTTGCATGAGTGTGGAGAGGGCATGCCGTATCTGGTTGTAGTCACTCGGAGGTAACTTGCCTCTTCCCTGCCCCAGCAGTCCCCTTGCTAAGTCCTCGTGGGGGCTTTGGAGAGTTTAAACAGTTCTGCTGGAGGAAGTCGCTTATAAGAAGAACATTTGCTCTGTAGACCTGAGCTCATTAGAATCAAGAAGACCAACTTGGAACTCCAGCACTAGAGATATGTTCACCCATATACTTAAATACAGACATGCATTTTACAGGTTTCACAAAACTAGTCTAACATCTGTTTTGCTTTCCTTGTTCATTCCATTCCCCTCCACCCCCGATTGCCCTCACCCCACCCCTGACTCAGCAAAGCCTCCTTTAAGAGACGCGATAGACCCTCCGTTTTGAACTGGCTCCCACACTTGTTTGGGAAGAGTTCTTCTCCCCTTCGGCCAGCTAGCTAGCCAGGCGGTCATTCCAAGGACCCGGCCTTGACAAGTCTGTGCCTTCTGATACATCTTGTCACCCACTGGCAGCTGCTGGTCTCGTAGGGCCTGCCGAGAACCCACTGGGCATCCAGGACCGTGGCTGTGATAGGGCTGAGTCAGCAGGAGCCTTCGCCCTCAACCCTGGGCCAAATCAGAAGCGGTGGTGCTGGGTGAAGTTCTGTGCACGCTCTGTGTCTTGAACTTTGTGCTGTGGTTAAGCGTATCCCTCTGTGAACACTTTGTATTTCATTTCATTTCAAATTTATTTTAAGTTTGGATCCTGGTCTTTCATTCTTCACTTGGATATCCTAGAATCTTGACATTTGTCCAAGAGAATAAGAATTACAGCATCACAGCAAATCAGACCTGAAGGGAATTTAAACCGGTCTCTTCAACTTAAAGATGAGGTTGCTGAAGCCCAATGAAACAGAGAGAATTGCCCAGGGACGCAGGGCTAGTGAGAAACATATCCGGGGCTCGAAGTCAGGCCTCCTGACTCTCCTGCGGGGTTTGCACCTTAAACGTGTGTCTAAGGGGTCCCTATGCAGGATACATTGCAGCCATCTGCACTCCAGTAAGAGTAACAGTACACGTAACAGGTAACGTTATTGAGCAGTTATTAAATGGCAGACACCGTTTTGAGCACTTTATGTATGCAAAATCATTTTGTCAACCTATTTGGTGGGTACTGTTATTATCCTCTATAACTGGAGTGACTAAGATGCGGAGAAGTTAAATAACTTGCCTTAATAAGTAGGGAAATCCTATTAGACTGACTTTCCTGAGACTCAGGTCTGACTTTGCATCAGCAAATCTGTACTGAGCCCCTACAGGGAATGGAGCCCTGCCTTTCTAGCGGGAAATGGAGGCATGTGGGTAGATGGTCACAGTGCGGCACAATGGCGGCTGTAACAGAGGGTGGGGAAGGAGTGGAGGGGGTAACAGACTTCACCAAGGAGATGGCATTTGACTGTTCTTGGGGATGCATAGGAGTTTGCTAGCTCCTTCCCTCGTGTGCCATGGAAGGGAAGGAGCTAACGTGTCTGCGGAGATATCCGAACGGTGAGAAGCTCAGAGTCCGGGAAGGCAGAAGCATGGCGGTTGTGGGGAGATTCTGGGAGGCGGGGCTAGAGAGGTAGCTTGGGTACAGATGGTCCAGCCCCTGTGTCCCAAGATAAGGGATCTGGATTCTATCCAGTAAACAGAAGGGAGCCAGCTGAAATGCTTGTGAGTAGGTTAAGTGATGGGATCGGATTACTGGGCGCTTGGGGCTGAACAGACGTAGCAGTGTGGGCAGATCGGTCACGAGGAAACCAGGTAGGAGGTGGTTGCAGTTGTCCAGGTAGAAACGATGGGGGCCTGGACTCCTTACGCCGTCTGATTGGCAGAGGCCGCCTCCACTCCTCTGCCTGCACTGCTTCCAGGGCCTGGATGCAGTCTATAATGCACCCCGCCTGCAGTGACAGGCCCATCCTTCAAGTCTAAGCTTAGGTGTCCTTCCGGAGACTCCCCTTAGTCCCCACGCCAAGCAGGCTTGAGCTCTCTCCTTGCAATCTCTGCTTTGTCTGGTACATCCTCCCTTCTCTCTTGGCACACGTGAAGTCTCCTTGCACATCTTTGTATATTCCTCTCCCTTGAAGGCTCCTTGAAGGCGGGTCCTTGAAGGCAGGTCCTTGTAGGCGGGTCCAGACCTTTGCCTCCTTAAAGACTTTGCACAGTGCCTGACATTCAGGGAGCTCTGCCTCCTTAAAGACTTTGCACAGTGCCTGACATTCAGGGAGCTCTCGGTACACGTGTGATGAATGAATCCACCTTCTAAATAAAAGCAGCGACTGTGGATAGGGGAAGAGGCCAACTTTGGGAGATGGTTTTGAAGTTACATCAGGGCTTGCAAACACATCCAGCCCACTTTATTTACTGCTTTTGTAAATAAAGTTTTATTGGAACCCAACCAAGCCTGCTGGTCTACATTTGTCTACAGCTGCTCTCACTGTGCAATGGTAGAGTTAGGTCATTATGACAGGACCATACAAAAATAGTTACTGTCTGCTCAGCCATGAAAAAGGATGAAATGTCGCCACTGGCAACAACATGGATGGACCTAGATATGATCATACTAAGTGAAGTGAGTCAGACAGAGAAAGACAAATACCATATGATGTGACTTACATGTGGAATCTAAAAAATAATACAAATAAACTTATTTGTAAAACAGAAACAGCCTCACAGACACAGAAATATAGTAACTTATAATGGACACAACATTTAAAAAAACCTATAACGGGGGCTTCCCTGGTGGCGCAGTGGTTGAGAATCTGCCTGCCAATGCAGGGGACACGGGTTCGAGCCCTGGTCTGGGAGGATCCCACATGCCGCGGAGCAACTGGGCCTGTGAGCCACAACTACTGAGCCTGCGCGTCTGAAGCCTGTGCTCTGCAACGGGAGAGGCCGCGACAGTGAGAGGCCCGCGCACCGCGATGAAGAGTGGCCCCTGCTCGCAGCAACTAGAGAAAGCCCTCGCGCAGAAACGAAGACCCAACACAGCAAAAAGAAATAAATTAATTAATAAACTCCTACCCCCAACATCTAAATAAAAACAAACCTATAATGGAACAGAATCTGAAAATTATATGTATGTAAGAAGATACATATGTATACATACATATATATACATATATATATATATATATATGATTCAGTTTGAATCACTTTGCTGTACACCTAAGACTAACACAACATTGTAAACTAACTAAAGTTCAATTTAAAAAAAAATATTTGCTATCCGGACCTTTGCTGAAGAAGTTTGTTAACCTCTGAGTTCAATGACCAGGGTTAGTGACTGGAGATAAAAGGTAGTGGAAAGGAAGGGGTGGAGACTTTTCCTTTTCTGGTATCTTCTCAACTAAATAGAGCTTTGCACCTAAGTGATGGCACTGACTGCCAGGCCTGTGGGTGCTGAGAAAGAAATGCCCCTACCGTGGGGCAGGACGGAAAGGGAGCCTGAGCCCAAGGTGGACAAGAGTCCCCGGTCAGAAAAGACAGGGGCTAGAGCTGCAAGGCAAACATATGTCTAAATCCTTCTGCCTCTTGTGCTCTTCTTTCTCTTAGTCATCCAGTTTGGTTTTGTCACCCTCTTTGTGGCCTCCTTTCCTCTGGCGCCGGTGTTCGCCCTCCTCAACAACGTCATTGAAGTGCGGCTGGATGCGAAGAAGTTCGTTACGGAGCTGAGGCGGCCAGATGCTGTGCGAACCAAAGATATCGGTCTGTCCCCTGCATCCCTCAGAGGCGACGCAGCCCATCCCCATCCCCTCCCTCCGACCCTCCCCCTGTCTCCCTGGCCGCCCCCCTCACACTATGTCGGGCATCCGGAGGGCTGGAGCATTCCTTATCACCCCTTCGAGCCCCTCATCCTTATCTCCTCGGTGCTGGAGGCCACGGTACCCCCACCCCCCGCTAGCCCCCTGCTTTGCAGACAGGGGTGCACCTAAGCCTCTCCAGACAAGCCTATCCCTGGGGGGCCCGGCAGAGCTCCACTGGTAACTTGCCTGCAAGGCGGCACTCTGACTGAAGCCTTGTCATCACTGGGCTGAGGGTGGGAATGAGGCAGACGCCCTTTTTTTCCCTGTCTTACAGGGATTTGGTTTGACATCCTCTCGGGCATCGGCAAGTTCTCTGTTATCATCAACGTAAGTGCTTGCATTCATGACACCCTCGCTCTGTGGGAGGGGCTTTCCAGGGGAGCTGAGTCCTCAGGGCAGGAAACCTGTCCTGTTACCTCCCAGCTTCTTCCATTTGGAGCTCTGTTTAAGACAGCGCCCGGCGCCCACCCACTCCCCAGCCCTCGTTAATATCACGTATCACGTACGCGCCTTCTAAGTCATCAGGCTGTTGCCGGAGGTGTGCAGCTTTGTCGTTCATTTCGCTAAGAGCAAGAAAGGCAATTACCCACCAGAATGTGTACCTTGGCCTTAAGAGTCCAGATCAGATCTTTCCTCGGAGCCAAGAATCATGAGGAAAGAATTGCACATATCTAGCCATCTCTTTCCTTTCTTTTTCTACCCTGGAGCTGAACAATACCTGGACCATCGCCCAGGCTGCAGTTCCTAATTACCGTTTCTCCAAGCTGTCAATGTAAAGTCTTAATTATCCCTGGCGCTGCTTGGTTAAGATAGGACATGGAAGAAGAGGGGTCCTGTCTGCTCTGACCTCCTTAACTGCCTTGCCAGATGTGTCCACGTTTCGGAGGAAATCCTGCTGGGCCCAAGCCAGCAGCTCCTTTGGCGTCTGCGTTCCATACGGATGGTGGTCAGGCAGGGCCTCCTCTTCCGTCTCCCGGGACAGTATCTACCAGCTCAGCGCACATCAAGAAAGCCACAGCCCCCTTTCCCTTGGGAGAGAAACGCTGATTCCGGCCGTGACCTGGCTACCGAATAAAAACACATGAGACGGCACGAGGTGTGCAGAGAGGCAGAGGGGATCCGCCCGTCACACGTGGGATGTTTGATGTAGGAAGTGCACGTCTCAAGGCTGAGAAATGAGGTGCAGTTTGATCAGTAGCTGCTTTGGAGTTGTGTCTTCTAGAAAAGAGCCCCTGAGTACCAAGCGCTTTTCATCTACAACAGAATGACAGGACGTTTTACTTCCTTGGCTGTTCTAAGACTTCTTAACTGTAAGAAATGGGAGAGAATAAGAGTCTCACCAAGTAGGATCAGTCTGCAAATTAAATGGGGTGATGAAAGGACGTATGGCCCGTGCTCCATTAATTACAGCTGTGATTATTAGAAGTCCGTTACTCACTCTCAAATATGGTTATGGCCATGCACACTCGTATATACATTTAGAAAACAATACCTAAACTGCATTTTTTAAAAGGGCTTTAATTGTTGGTGCCGAGGACAGTATAAACACCTGCCAAAAAGATTTAAGATTTTCTTTGCAGAAACTCCCTCCTCATCCGAACAGGCAGTCGTTCCTTTGTCGTTTGGTTTGCTCCATAGACCCTCATAGAGAACTTAGATACGCCAGGCGCTACGTCGGGTGTGTGCGTTTCATCCAGCAGGACCTCCTCCTTCCCTCTCTGTGTCTCACTTTTTCTAAGCAAAATGGATGAAAGAGCGACTTTCATTGTATGATGGGCTAAAAAGCGCTGAGAGATGATGGTCAAACTGAGGTTCACCGTGGAACCATATCCTTGGTGTTCCTGGCTTTCTCGTGTCCCTCAGGGGCAGATGTGTTCAATATGTGGCCATTTGGTATCCTTGCCTGTCACACTTCAGTGGCCGTCTCACCACTCTCAGTCATTTTCTCAGAAAATCTCCCACTCTACCTTGGCATGGCCAATGCCAGCATCAATTCAGGTATCTCAGAGATGATTCACGCCCTCCCTCACCCAATGGTCCAAACTGGCGTAGCATCCTTTGCTTCGGTGGTTGTAATTCACTCTCTTGACGGCCACTGACTTGTGGGTTTCCTTACATGTATCAAAGATGGAAAAGCCAGGTAAGTCAGTGTTGTGAGCTCAGGGGCAAGGACTCTGTATCAATCAGAGCAGTGCCCCCGGATGGAGAGCCCAGGAGGGGACAGTCTCTTGGGCAGATGGACCTGCGTCACCCGCATGGTGTCCATGCTGACGGTTCCTCAGGTGCTTGTGGTTCTATCCCCAGGCTTTTGTCATCGCGATCACCTCTGACTTCATTCCCCGCCTGGTGTATCAGTACTCCTACAGTCACAACGGGACTCTGCATGGCTTTGTCAACCACACCCTCTCCTTCTTCAACGTCAGCCAGCTGAAGGAGGGAACGCAGCCCGAGAACTCACAGTTTCACCAGGAGGTTCAGTTCTGCAGGTAAAGTAATCGGGTGCAGGAGGGCAGCGAAGGACTAGAAGCAGCAGGTCCAAGGAATTATCTGGACGACTTAGAATTACATCATTATTCTCCTTCGCTTCTGTCTCCTACCCCCAAAGCCCAGATCCCTACGAGTCAGTTTCAGTGAATTGACCAATATGTATTGAGTGCCTTTTGCTAGACACCATGGAGCAGGTAAAAGACGTATATAGGTTCGTCCTTACCGTCAAGGGAAGGTCTGGTCTATGGTCTGTTTGGGAAGAAAACAGAACTGGTAGGACACTGCAGGTTATTCAGGGAGTATGTCTAGTATGGGCCACGAGCCTTACGAGTGTTTGAAGGAGAAGGAGAACAGTGAGGGCCGGAATGGAAAGGGTAGGCTTCTTGGAGGGGCCATGAGGAGTTGTAGGGCAAAACGAGAGAGTATCCTGGGTATGGAGTCAGCCTGGGCCAGGTCATGGGGACAAATCTGAGGTGTTAAACACTTAGGGGCTAGCTGCTGGAGTTGGCAAGGAGAGTGCTTGGGAGATAATAATAGGGAATACTATAGGAAATACAATATAGAGAGCAACTCCTAGGGTAGTATAAGCCAAAGCGTTGTTGAATTTGAATCGGTAGGATGAAGTAGATAATGGGAAATCTCGAAATCTTACAGGAATTTTTTTTTTTTTTTGGCGGTACGCGGGCCTCTCACTGTGTGGCCTCTCCCGTTGCAGAGCACAGGCTCCGGACGCGCAGGCTCAGCGGCCATGGCTCACGGGCCCAGCCGCTCCGCGGCATGTGGGATCTTCCCGGACCGGGGCACGAACCCGTGTCCCCTGCATCGGCAGGCGGACTCTCAACCACTGCGCCACGAGGGAAGCTCCCTTACAGGAATTTTAATGTGATGCAATAGGAAGTTACGGACCTTTTTAGGGCCAGGGAATTATAGGCTGAAGTGTGGGCTTAGGAAAACTAATCCGGTCTCAGAGAGGAAGATGGGCTAGAATTGGGCTAACTCAAGGAGGGCAGCTGAGGTGCTGCATCATTCAGACGTGACCGGTGGTAGGCATGGACCAGAGAGGTGGAAGTAATTCAGAGGGAGGGAGAAGATGAGCTACTTAATGTCATACGTTACAAAGCTGGGTACCAGAGACACTGGAGAGAGCGTGAATCAAGGATAACTCCAAAGTCTGGGCTGAAGCCAGAGGACTGGGAAATTGTGGGTCCATTGACAGGGATGGGGAAGATGCCAAGAGAATCTAATTTATCATAAATTAGATGAATTTGATTCCGATCATGTTGCATTTAAAATGATGGTCGGAAATCTAAGGGGCAGTTTCCATCTAACACCTAGAGGGAATAGCTGGAACTCCTGAGAGGACCAACTTAGAGTCATGATGGTAATTTGTCATCACAGGGATCATTGAAGCCGAGAAACAGAAAACTCTCCACTACTTACCAGAGAAGGACAAAGAAAGAGAAAAAGAGCAGAGGGGAATAAGTTCTTTCAGACTCAGTCTGAACCACAAAAGGGAGAAAACAAATTGGTCTTCCCAACCCAGAGGACTGAGTTAAACAACCTTCCCAATGTGTGATTTAAATAGAAGGGTATTCTGGTCCCAGGAGCAATAACTTTAGGGCTTCACACTAGCCAACCAGAAAGGCTCAAAGTCAGGGACCAGATCTAAGAATAGAGAAGTCCATTTATTCACAGATACTGATTCACGTAGCCTAGATGTTTCTAGCATTTTCGCATCTGGGACTATAACAAGTCGTCACTCGAGTAGGCAGATTTGGCTACTACCCTGCGTTGCCCAGGGGCCACTGCTGGCTGGCCAGGCTGTCTGTCCATGGTGCTGGATTTGGGTCTGCAGATCCGCTGTACAGTGGGGTCTGGACCAGCTGGTGGCCTTTTCTGGTAGCATTTAGATTTGCTCCAGCAGGGTAGGTGAAGTCAGTCAGCACCTTCACATTAAACGAACGGGCACTGAAAAGTGAGGACAAAATCATTTTTGTAACTGGAAGGTACAGAAATCATCTTGTTGAAACTCTCATTCTACATAAAAAGAAACCGAGGCTTAGAAAGTTGAAGAGTTTTCCAAGATCACAGAGGTTTCTAGCAACAGACCCGGAAGCAAGACTCACGTCTCTCCAGGAACACAAGCTTCGACGCCCACGCTCGGGGGATTGCAGCACGAGTGTGACTTGTCACGTGGGGAAGCAAGGCTAACGCTGTTCCTTTAGTTGGTCTAGAAGCACAAGTCTCACCAGAGCACCAAGGGACTCTGACCTTGTCCTTGACCGTCACATCTTCCCGTGACACTATGAATGTGCTTTCCAGATATATCAGTGGCTTACCCTGGCTTAAACACAAGGGGACTTTAATGCCTCTCTGTTGAGTCGAGGGTAGTTCTAGTTGGGTAGATTTGATTCAATCTGCCCAAACCAAATCTTTCTCCATCTTCCAACCCTACTGTAGTCAGTGATGACTGTAGTTTCAAACACTGGATGACTGCCAGCAGCTCCAGGCCAGTATCATACTGTGTCCGAGTCCAGCGGGAACAAAAGCCTATACTTCTTTCCCAACAATCTCAACAAAAGTCCTGCTGCCGCTTGTTGGCTGGCATTAGTACGCACTTCCTACCCAGAGCCGATCGCTGTGGCCAGAAGAATGCGACGCTTTCCATGGTCTTTGGGGCCGTGGGGTTAGGGGTAGGAAGTGAAATTATCTCCATCTGAAGCACGTGATCTCAGACTAGTGGGTAGTTCCCTCCTCCTCTGAGATCTGAAGTCAAGATGAACGGATGCATCTCAACCAAAACAACGGGTGCCCAGGAGACCAGGTGTTATTAGCACACGTGGGTCACATCGAGCTTTGCTGTATCTACCGTCAGAGTCACTGGACTTTCCAGCCAGATGTAAAGCCCTGATAACTCTTCCCTCCATTGTTTCCAGGGAAGTAGATGGGATCGTGGCTCATCTGTGGCCTGCTAAGTGGCGGAATTAACACTGGGTGCGTGTGCAGGAAATGCATGCTGTATTTCTGTCAAGAAAAATGTACTGCAGAAAATAGATCATTCAGGAATCAAACCAAAAGCATTTCTGGCATGTCCACCGTTGTTTCTTTACTCCGTACCAGTGGGGATTGTAGGTTCATTGTGCATCTATTTTTGAGGCGTTACTATAGGCTTGGCATCGGTTATATAAGAGGGAACAAGACGCAGTGCCTCCCGCGAGGAGTCTAGCTGGACAGGCGAGACGAGCATGCGCACAGCGATGAGAACAGAGCTTCCGTACGTGCAGTCGGGCAACTGCAGGGAGCTCTCCGAGCCTTGAAGGAGGAGGCCACGCACCTGACCCAGACCTAAGTGTCCAGTGCCAGAGTGGCCAGAAGGAGAACCTGTTGAAACTGCTCACTCACGGGACCAAGCCGGCCTGGGTGGGAGGGGGCTGTCAGGTGGTGACAGAGGTCCAGGGAGAACAGGGTGTCCCAGGTAGAGGGGCTAGGTCATGCTCAGTGGTCAGAGCTGGAACGAGAGGTGTGAGCTAAGAGAGGTGAGGCGGGGAGAAACACAGAAGCCAGACCAGGAAGAGCATGTTGGTCATGGGGGTGGGGGGGTGTGGACTCACCTTAGGGCACTGGGAGCCGTGGTAGGGGTTGGAAGGGACTTCTCACTGGTATCATCTCTGACTTCGCTGTGGAGACCAGTGGGTTACATTGAAAATAAAGAGCTGCCTGGGCTTCCCTGGTGGCGCAGTGGTTGAGAATCTGCCTGCCGGTGCAGGGGACACGGGTTCGAGCCCTGGTCTGGGAGGATCCCACATGCCGCGGAGCAACTGGGCCCGTGAGCCACAACTACTGAGCCTGCGCGTCCGGAGCCTGTGCTCCGCAACGGGAGAGGTCGCGACAGTGAGAGGCCCGCGCACCGCGATGAAGAGTGGGCCCCGCTCACCGCAACTAGAGAAAGCCCTCGCACAGAAACAAAGACCCAACACAGCAAAAAGAAATAAATTAATTAATAAACTCCTACCCCCAACATCTAAAAAAACAAAAAAGCTGCCCTAGTTTGAAATGTAAGCAGATGTCTGGGGAGCGGGGTCCTCGAATCATCTAGATATGCCGTCTCAAGTGGGTATACCTTGGGGGCTACCTATCCTAGGTGGATGAGGATTGCTGATGAAAATCTCTACCTACCCCAGGTAGGTTCTCCTCACAGCATGCCGTGTGGACCTGTCTGGCTCGCCGTAGTCTCTGGAGGTTGATGAAGTGGGGGCATAAACTACGGATGTCTTTGTAAGCCAGGATTCGTCAGCAGCTGTCAGAAATAGAAGTGAAGGGGGTGGGGGATGGAGGGGGCTGGGGGGAGAGAGAGATTGATTCTGAGAAACACAGACAACGCTAGAACTAGCCCCGAAGCCCACGTCTAGAACCGCTCCCGTGATGGGAAATGCAAAGTTTGTCCTTGTTTCCTGGCAAATAGCGTTGGGAACTCGATGACCCTTCTTATTCTTAGCTCTCCGTGACCCCCGGAGATAAATGTGGTCAAATAAAACTGAGGTCTCCGGCTCCAGTCCGGCCTCGCCAGGGATAGAGGTATCTTAAAAATAGCAATAAAATTTAGGACAAGTCTCCGGCTGCCCATTTGAGATGCATTCCCAGCATTTTTGGAGCAACGTCTGCCTTAGCCATCTGACTGCCCCGGCCGGGCTGCTCCGTAAACAGCCCCGTGACGTCAGTCTGCAGGCTTGATTAGTGGTCATTTGACAGGGTCAAGGGACCACTGTATCCTACAGGCTGGATGGTGACTCGAGCTCCTGGCTCAGCGGAGTGGAGCAGAGAGGTCAGTAGGGCAGAACCTGGCCAGGGACCTGGGTCTGAGAGCTCAAGGAGCCCACCTGGGCTTGGGCAACCCAGTGGGTCTGTTTAGAGATGCTGAGCGTCCCGAAACAGCATCCTTGGATGGCTCCCGCAGGTTTTTCTGCAGGACCCAAGTTCTTCCCTATCCCAGGGTCCCGGG